TTTTTATATCTAAAATTTTACAAAAAAAATATCTTGCATCGGCCGGGAATCGAACCCGGGCCGCCCGCGTGGCAGGCGAGCATTCTACCACTGAACCACCGATGCTTACGAGAAGGAGTTTTCCTTTACTAGATCACATCGAAAAATATAACTTAAAATTGACAATCGTAATTTCTTTTACGAATCGATAAAATTGATCGTCGTAAGAGTAAAACAATAATTTGAATAATTCATGCTAAGCAGTCATGATCGCAGACAGATTGGCGGTTTTTCCAACGTCCAGTTCGTATACAAGTATAAAATGCCATTTGGTCTGCGCACGCAGAGGCCGCGATTTACTCGCAAAACGGGTAGACGGTCTCTTGATACGATTTCGCGCGATTGCGTGGCAATTACTCAGGAGCAAATTACAACTCGGCGAAGTCATGAGGAACGCGGCTTTCTCGTTGGTCCACGTTAATTACGCGACAGGTGGAGTAAACGAGCTGGTCCTGCAGGCAGTCGACAAGGCCAGAACCAGAATTCAATCGAGACAGGAGATGATCGGTGGAATTCGACTGTGGATTTACGAGGCCTTCCGCAATGGCGCCGATCCCTTCGAATTCACCGGATTAGCCAGGGGTGGTCAACAAGTTATTATCACGCGTTATACAATATTGAACGACGACGCGCGTAATAATCGCTTTAACCTTACCAACGGTGAACCGGTCGCTGCTAGTTGACGCGCTTAATGTGTCGGCAGGTGGCTAGACTGAAGAAAAATTACGGAAAGGCGATCGATCTGCTGGTCGAATTGACGTCGTTGCAACGCAATTTCCAGATTGTCGATCGGTTAATCAAGGCGACGAGACGTCGCGTGAACGCTCTTCGGCACGTCATCATACCGCGGTTAGAGCGAACCCTCGCGTACATCATCACCGAACTCGACGAGTACGAGCGAGAAGAATTTTATCGTCTCAAGAAGATACAGGTACGGAAGACGAAGCGATACAATGGTCAATCCTCTTACAGTCTGACTCGAGATGCAAACATTTTCGACGAGGCTGAGGACCAGGATCTTCTTTTTTAATACTACGATAAAACCGTGACGGAGCGGATATGCAACTTTGAGAATGTGCACCGCCTTTTCAAAGCAGCAGCTCATGAATATCGATGCTGTTCTTTACACAGTTTACGCTGATCAATTTTTCACTCTGCTCGAACGAGGAGGGAATGGGAGAGGGGAAGGCGCAGTCACCCTGCGATAAATGCCGAAACTCGAAACAAACGAGGAGAAACTGCGAGAAGGAAGCGCGAGAAACCAGCGAGGGATCGAGAGGGATCTGGGAATGAGAATGCACACATAAGGGAAGGGAAGGCCGAGAGCTGTGGGCCCAATTATACCAAGAAAATACAGCCCATAAAGCCAGCCTGAACCCGAACTGCTGCCAAACATCAGGCTATGATAATGAGAACGTGACTGTTGCTCTTCCCCTTTCCTCCTAATCCCCTTGACGGATCACGTAGGTGTAGCAGCTGTTGAAATGGGAGGAACCTCCTTCTCTCGCGCCAAATTGAAAATTTCAACTCGTCAGACATTTCGCGTCTATCTCTAATAAACTAAAGCTCCTCGATTGATTTAATTCTCTTATAAGAACGAGTTTTCTTGCTGTTTGAAACGTGCGTTTATTCGATCGTTTAGATTTAAGAAAAGTATTCTCTCTTACTCTTATAAATTATGATTGTTGCGTATGCATAATATACACATATGATGTATATAACATTTGATGTATATGCAAAAATAATCTCGCGCCGCGTACCAAACCGCGGAGTGATGAAAATCGATCGAGCCAATCGAATCGATCGCCACACAGAGAAAACACGAACACACGGACACAACGGAAATCCCGACCGGCAGAGATGGGAAGAGGCAGAGAGGAGAAGCCAGAAGGCCCTGTAAAGAAGCGAACAAGCGCGCGCGCGAGAGAGAGAGAGAGAGAGGAGGGGGAGGGGGGGATAAACAGACGTCACGCTAGGGCACGATCCTCCATGGGCAAACGTTTAGTCGCACGGAAACCTCGGATGGGTGAGGACAGCCGTTCGATTCGGCCATTGATTTCGCGATTAACTCGCGTTAAGTGCACAATGATCCATCCGAAGGATCGTTGCGATACGGGCGATCGTGATCTTTCGTGATTGTGAGACACGCGGATTGTGAGAGAGACGAGACGCGAGGCTTCTATGCGTGAGAACGGGATTACGTCGCGCGGCCGTCTCTTTGTGATTCGTTCGATTCGTTCTTGTATTCGCGTTCTTGTATTCGAAATTGCGCTCCCGCGTTCGCGTTTGGAACGCCTGCGTGTCGCACCGTTTCGTATCTTACGCATGCTGGATCGTGGCTAATCTTGTTGTTTCGATCATTGTGCCTGCGTGCGCGAATATGTTCACAAATGGGAATGGTTCGCAAATTGTTCCTTTTCTAAAAAGAAACACGAAATAGATATACATATGCGAATGAAAAATTTAAATTTCATCGAGCTTAATTACGATCGTGAAAGACAAGATGACAAGATTGACTCGCCGCGTCGAGATCTGACTGTCGGTTGTTGGAGATTTTGATTAAATTAAAATCAAGACCGAGTCCACTTGTTGAAGAGAAACGTCAGTTAAATTGATCTCATTTAACGTGCAAGCAAGTTAATTCAACTACTTGTTAAGTCAAGCTTGGATTTGACAGTAATTTAAATAAAGCTGTGACAGCACCGTAATTATGAAAAGAGAGTAAGTTCAAAAAATGAATAATAAAATTCAATTTTTATTGATTTAAAACACACCCCTTTTTCAATCAAGTTTCAATTTCTTAATTAACTTTCGATTTTGTTCAATCGGTAAATCTCTGTATCAAGCATTCATTTTTTTTTATATAAAGTCCTTTTTGTCGTAGAGGTACAAATTAAGATCAAGTTTCTAAAAATTTTTATAAAAGATTGTTATTTATAAATACGCATTTGTCTCTCATTTTTATATACATTCTGCGTTTTATGCTCTTTCAGAGTTGAAAATTGAAATGGTGGGTAGCAGAAAACTTGAAGTAACTTTTACACGATTTATAACGATTCGGAAAGCATCTCTTGCGGAAAATGCGTTGGATTTTATTGTTGACGTTGGTGCGGACGATATGGTGCGCGCACGGCGCCTGCGAGCCGATCAGAATCGAGATGTGCCGTGGTCTCGGTTATAATGTCACTGTCATGCCAAATCTAGTTGGTCACGAGATTCAAGGCGATGCTGATTTTACATTACAAACATTTAGTCCGCTTATACAATATGGGTGCAGGTAAATCTTGCTTTGTAACAACTATATTTAATTGCAACAGGATGATCTTTTTCATTCGCAAAAAAGTATACGAGCAACCACGTATACTTTCTTAACAATACACATCGAAACTCTATGAATAATTTAAAATATAATTAATGATAATAAATGATAATTTTTGAAATATTTGACAATCGTTATGAATTTTAGATGTTAATTACATCGCTGTTTTGCATTTGAGATTAATTTTATTTATAACTTGTTGTAGTGCACAATTGCACCTTTTTTTGTGTTCGGTATATGCTCCGATGTGTACCGAAAAAGTTCCCGCACCCATCGGTCCCTGCCGAGGTCTGTGCGAGCAAGTGCGGGCTCGTTGTTTCCCCGTCCTTCAGGGATTCGGATTTCCCTGGCCCGCCGCATTGAATTGCTCCAAATTTCCACCGGAAAACAACCACCAGCACATGTGCATGGAAGGACCAGGTGAACCAGGACCAGCTAATCCTATTCAGGTATATAATGATTGATCCAGGAAATAATTAACAGTGTCATTCGGCTATTGTTCGCATGTAAAATCTTATGATCTGTCCAGGCGGTGAGCACCAGCAACGGACCCTGGGGCTGTTCCTGGTATGCCAAGTCTGGGTTGTACATCTTTCTGAATCGCTCTGGAAGATGTGCCGCCGCTTGCGACGCCGATATTCTCTGGTCTCAGAAAGACAAGAGGATCGCGGAGGCCTGGATGGCCGTATTCGCGACGATATGTCTAGTCTCCGTCGCGATTGCTATCCTGACACTTTTGAGACCGCGCAAACGACCTGTGCTGACTACCACTGCAGGTAAGAGTTTTCTGCAAAGTAAAAACGTTTTCACGCGGAATTGTGAGAAAAGTCGATATATTATTCTCCAAGTTAATTTAAAACGTTGAACCAAATAATTCAATTTGAATAAATGAAAACTTCGAATATTACCATCTGCACGATTTCTCCATATGCCGTTTTTCTCTCTTGATCGGATTTAATTTGTCAAAGATACGAATTACTTTCAATGATAAAAGCAATATTTGTTTACAGAACGTGCAATAGTCTTCTTGACGATCTGTCACGCTGCCGTTGCAATTGGCTACGTGATTCGATTGGCTGCCGGCCGGCTAAATGTCGCGTGCACTCCCGCGATTCCGATACACCCGCAGGATCAAGTTGTCTTGGCCCAGCAGCAACAGCAACAACAGCAGCAACAACAGCAACAGTACCTAACGCAAGACGGTCTAGCTAATCCTTATTGCGCCGCTGTTTTTTTGCTACTCTATTATTTCGGATACGCTGCAATCGTTTGGTAAGTCTACATTTCTTTGCATCATCTTGAAATGATAAATGACTGCCGTTTGGCTGGCGAATATATTCTTCCGAAATCTTTTAATTTATCGTGTATTTATGAATTGAACAACGGAGAATGCAAAAATAACGAGAAGCTTTGTTTATTGCTATTATTAGATTTTAATTACGTACAGATGCGAGAACCGAATGATACTCTCATAACGCGTTTCAAAGTTGTCGGTTGTTGAGAGCGCGTTGTTGCACTCGCCTTGCTACGGCGAGACTGCATCGTCCGAGGTAGGGATAACAATCTGGCAACAGTGTTGACTCCCCTCGTGCCGCTAACGAGCCTCTGACTCCCATCTCGTCCCATCCCATCTCATCCCGTTTATACTGAGAGGCTCATCTTAACGCATCTAACGGGTGGTATAAGCAAAAAATTGTCCATCAGCCTGTGTTTCGATAATGCATGAATGCAATGTTACGTCGCATTGTAAAAAATAAATTCTACCGTTGCAAGTTTCAGCGTATCGTATAAAAAATATTTTTTTAATGTGATATAAAAAAATGTATGTTAGAATAAAGATTTTGGAACTTTACGATGTGCAAGGAAAGACATTGCAATTTTGAAATTTCAGCGTTTCTATTGGGAAGAGAAAACTTTGTAAATTCTTGTATCTTTTTCCATCTTTTAGTATCTATGAATAGGATTTTAGGATCATTAGATATTTCAATATCCAAGTTACATATAATGCTGCTCACCGTCTGAAAATTTTTAGGTTTATTTATCTTTCGGAATCTTTAATATCTTTCAATACCTTCGCATTCAAAGGCCTTTCGGTTGTCGGATAAACAAGAGTCACCCGATATATGAGGTGGGTCGAGAGGAACCTTGTTGCCAGATATGCATGGAGTCAATGGCATTCCATCTTAGAGAAAGCAAGCTGCTTGAGAAGGAGAAAGAAAGCGCAAGAAGAGCAGAACGGGAGAAAGAGAGAAAGACGGGAAGATGGGAGACGGACGAAGAGTGACGCTTCGAACCAAAGAATAAGATGATGCACAATATATGGATACAATTTGTGGTTGCGATTGTGCAAATGGGTTTCGCAAAGTCGATCGTCTTGTCATGGGCTTTCAAATTTATGAACATTTAAATGTAAATCCAACCATATAAATCTTGAAAGTTATTTCCCATGTTTCTTAATCTTGATTGGCTTCAGATTCGCATAATTTATCAGTTTAGCAGTCTCAACTCGTATTCTTTTCGGTTCAGGATTTTACAGTTGAAAAGTGTTAAATATTCCATACGAGGAATCGGTACGATATGGGTTAAAACCCGATCACGAAGAAGCCCAGCCCTGAACTCAAAGCTCGAATACTTTTGCGCATCGTGGTATAGCGAACTCTAAAGCGTATGGCCATAATTTACATCGAAAGAGCCGATAAACATCGCGCCCTACGGACACGAAACCACGAAGCTGCGCGCACCATGGACCCACTAAGGCCCTGCAGTCCTAGCCATGCATTGTCCTGTCTCGCCACTTCCACTTCATTCTTCTTTCCACCTTATTCCCACAATATGTGTCAAGCTTATGTGAAAAGCGACAATTTTTAAGTCCAGATTTTTAGACAGCTTAGACGGAAACGAGAAATTATAATTCGGTCTCGTCAAGTTTTTAAATTCGAACTCTACTTTTATTACAACTGCGCCGAGAATTCGTGTTTTAATAACAAATTTTTTACTTTTATTTACATTTGTCTGTTTGTTCTGATCATGATAATTGTAAAAATCAATTGCTAACAACATGTTTCGTTAAAATTGAAAAGTCAAAGTATACTCAGGCACATACAGAGATTCACATATTCTTACATCAAAAATAAGCGATGACTCCGCTCAGTCTCTGTTAAATTCTCTCGTTCTCGAATCGATAATAGGCAGTGCTACGCCATTGACAGCGAAGATCGTACGACCTCATGGTGGTAGGTAATCCGGCAGTTTCGTGTTTCCGTTTCTCTCTTTTCTCTCCCTCCTTCGTTCGTCTTCTCCGCTCCCCTGCTCCAAGAGTTTGACGGCCGTCTCAGAAACGAGGGAAAAAGGACAAGTCGAAAGAAGGGCTCGAGGAAAGAGCTGATCCATCATCTCTCTCGATGCCCAGCCCGGGCTTCAAGCTTAAGAACCCGGATCCGAGAATTTCTCGATAATTCATCCGAGATAAGAGCTTCACCGGGCGGCCACTACGCGCCAGTGAGGAACGCGACGGGGCCATCGAGGGCCCGATAACGAGTCGCCGATGTTGTCATCTAGCGTATTCATCTTGTCTTCTGAGAGAGTTGGAACAACATCCTGTCCACTTTTTAGAATATCGACACGTAATTTTGATTGATTCTAATTTTATAATTGATATTGTGAAGTTTACTTTAATTCTATTCCATTTATAATTCAAATTGAAATTTAGAAACACAACTTTCTACAATTTCATCTTTTTTCTTTTCTTTTCTTTTCTTTTTTTTTCTTTTTTTTTCTTTTTTTTTTTTTTTTTACGGAGCACACAAAAATTAAATAAAAAATTTTATCATGAATTATACATCGATTAAAGATGGCTTAGGGTATGAAATTGACTTGGAGAGTCGTATATCTCGATAAAACATACAATTTATTGATTTCTATTGTGTGCGAAAAGAGCTTACGGAGAATCGTTTGGTCATCAATAAATCATCAATAAAACAACGAAATTTTTCATAATTGCGAAATATACGTTTGGTCCGATTATAGAAACCATCGCGTATATAAGTAAGTTCTCGTATGTGAGAGTGAACGACCATCGACGTTGGAGTCAACTTTTCCGTATTCATCATGAGAAAAGAGCGAGTGAATCTCGAAGAGGAGGAGAAAAAGACGATGATGAAGCCGAGTGGGAACGGGGGGAGGAGAGAAGCATCGTCGTGTACAGGAATCCCGCGGGGTATATAATCAGCGAGATGAGATGAGAGGGGTACTAGCTACCTCTTGTTTGTTTTGTTAGTTAGCGAGTCGTTAGGTTGTTCTCTCTCTCTCT